TATACACAAGATAGCAAAGATAATTATGCTACTAATTTCTACTAGTTTACTGAAAGGAACAGTAAATGCTTATTTTTTGACCAACTTTGCATGCTTATATCTGGTAATCTGAGCAACTACTCTGAGCATATTGTTATATCTGAGCATATTGTTATATTGCAACAATATGCAATATAACAACCATTGTTGAATTCCTATCATCTTGTTTTTTGAAATTTTATACCATTTCTAGTATTTTAAAATTATTTTTATTCTCTTTAAAATAAAAAAAATAAATAATTACATAAGTAAATGATGGATTTTCATAGACATCTCATATTTCTATTTGATCTCCAGGCTAGTCAATTAATCTTTGTCTAACACTGATGTGGAGCTGGCCAAATATACAGGTTATTTTTAAGACACAGGAGTGGCATACTGCCCTTGTCCTGATTGGCTCAACAAATGAACTGTAAGAAGTGAGTTCAGCCATAAAAGTAGTATTATCTTGCACTTTTATGTGGTCAGGTTACAGTATGGATTTTACACATGCACAGTTTCAATCATTATAACAACCCTTTAAAGAAGGTCTTAGCACCTTACTTTTACTAGTAGAAAAAGTGAAGGTTGAAAAGACTAAGGCCCTTGCTGAAGATTGCTGGGTTATTGAGCAGAAGAATAAAGACTAGATTCCCAAGGTTTAGATCACAAGTTTAGGTTCTTTCCACGACAACACAGATATCTGCAGAATCTTGCTAGACTAAAAAAAAGACTAATTTTCCTCCAACTAAAAATAAAAAGAGTATGGTATTTGGTAGTACTCTACCTATAACTGCTCTGTAAGTTGCTTTATTAGTAGTATAGAAGCCTCTATTCCAGATAAAATACCACATCATAGAAACTACGTGGCTTGGCCAGCTCAAATGTCACTGAGATCAATATAATACAATCAGCATTTTGGCATCCTAAATATCCAGCTAAGGCATATGTATAACATGAGTAAAAAGGAACTTTCAAGAGATTTACAGATTCTTATATCTATAATATAAAAATATTCACCCTTTATTTAAAAGAACACAAAGTTTTAAAAATTTTTTATAAATTTCATTTATGATGGGTTATATCCTGAAAAAGCCACCACAAGTGGAAAATGTTGTGAGGTGGAGATGCATCGAATGCACCTAAGCTCGTGAACATTGTAACAAAGCACACTGTACAGTATCAGCTGTTTCCCCTCATGTGAGGGCACAGGGGAGCTGTGCCTCACTGCTGCTGTCCAGGACCCCAAAAGACCACAGCAGTACATACTGCAAACCTGCAAAAGACTGACTTCAAAGTATGGCTTTTACCGAATGTGTATTGTTTGGAATCACCGTCAAGTTGAAATCTGTTAAGTCATTGAAAGTTGCTGACCATCGATTGTGTTAACATCTGTTCTAACTTTAACTTTGACTGAGAGACATGCTGATCTGACGGGTACTGACAGCAGATCTAAGGTTTAAAATAACATTACAGAAACTTATTTTACAGAGCAGAGAGTCTCAGCGGGGAGGATGACCTTACCTGCTGCCATCTGAGAATCACTATGCGTCATGAGAAAGATTACTGAGGGGGGTAGGATACACATGTGAAAAACGTGGCAAAAAAGGTCAAGGAATTACCAAAGTAAAGGTTTTGGTAAATTAACAATACTTAGTCATTAACTCAGAGATACTTGATTTTTGAATTTACAGATTTAATACATGAGGGATTTTTACAGTGACTCAACCCCACCATATAATGAAGTAAAAATACTCACGTAAACACATTATCTAACTCATGTACATTCTTTAGAATGAGAATGTAATGCACTGGGCTGCCCAAAAACTCTAGCAAATACCTTCATATAAAGCCCGGAGAATTTTCTGTTCATTTTCACCTCAGTCATTACCTTCCTTTTATCGAGCTAAGCAGTAGGGATTTGATAACAAGTGGTATAACATAAAAGAAACGGTGAAAAAAATATTACTTTTTCTCAGTTGGAGATAGAAAAGGAGAACAGGAATTATGGTAATAGTAAAATAAGTTTATGCAAATAGAACTATAGGCTGCTGGTTGAGGTACCGCCTGCCTTACACCTCTCTTCACCTAATAACAAGACAGCTTCAAAGGAGCATGAAGCAAGACAGGGTCGACCTGTACACTACACTACTCTGCAGGCAGGAGACTACAAATTTTCTTCTCTTCATACTGGTTATCAAATGATCCACCTGTAGAGTAAGTAGTATCCAAATATTTGCACTGTAAGAATGGGGGGTCAAATGGTAACCCTTTCTTTCACTTACAGAATACCTGTCAAGACTACGAAAGTAGGAGACTGAAGGGGCACAACTTCTTCACATCCACACAATGTATGAGCTCTCTCACTGTCTATGTGCTCAACAGTAACATAAGCTTTGTGAGATCAGATCATTAGTACAATCTTTTGCCACCACCTATCCTTATTCATTAGGTTTACACAGAAGATAAAGCATTCCAATTTAGATTCTACTGATTCCATCAGACTTATAAAAGTTCAACTGAAGCTTAGAAAAGGGATTAATAAAAAATATATACAGACAGAAAAGTGTTGCTAAGAAGTGTTGACAATTATTTGCCAAGTGACATACATGTATTAACTTAAGGTAAAAGAGTTATACATAAATTTGTATTTTATAAAATAAACAGCATATAAGATTTTCAGTGAAAATATGTGTTATGTAATGAAATTGAGAATTTTATGTGAAGGTTAAAAGAAAATGCTGACAATTTTAATAAAAAAATCTACCATTTTTGAAAAGGCAACTTTAAGCATTACAATTTCAAAAAGATTTCAGTATTGATAATACTAAGCATAACTTTGAATTATTTCATATCATACTTAGAAGTATGATATGAAATAATCATTTACTAAGCATAACTAAGCATTTACTAAGCATAACTTTGAATTATTTCATATCATACTTAGAAGTACAGTTTTTTCTCCTGTTTATTCAACTCAAAAGTAGACTGCTTTCCTTAAAAGTATTCACATTCAGATTGTCACCTCCCTGAAATACCAGTCTTTGCAGAATGGATCTGGGAAGACGAAGATTTTTTGTTTGTTTGTTTGTGTTTTGTTTTTCTTCCGGTACCAGAAATTGAACTCACAACCTTGTGCTTGCCAGGCAGGCACTTTGCCGCTGAGCTAAATCCCCAGCCCCTAGATGAAGATATTTTGAAGAGCAAGGAAGAAGAGAGTATGAAGGAGGCATGGATAGGTTTGAGTTTTTATTTTTAATTTGTTAGGCTTTTGGAAAACTATAAACCTTCCTTAAAAACAGTGAACCCAACTGTGAGAACACCTGGTACATACAATATGTCATCTGGGGATTTTTACAGGTCAAAGAGAGATGACATGGAAGAACAGAGAAATAAGTGAACGCAAGTCTTATTTCTACTGTAGTGAGGCTTGAGACGGCCTTGATTACAAGTCAGTTCTGACAAATGGCATCCAGGCCCCACAACATGTACCTCTTGAAGTTGATCGTTACACGTATAGTGCTTTAAAGGGTGATATTAGACTTGCACTGTGGAGTTTTATTTAGTCAGCAAATTCCACAAAACCATGTGTACCCACTGCTCAGCTACTTACTTGAACATTTTTGAGATGCTGATGATAAATGTTATGTCATCATAATTTCCACACCTGTGTAGGAGCCTCCTGGCTTTTATACTTTCTAAACTACAACTGAAGTACAGCTAAGATATATCATCTGTGTTCACAAATACTACCTGCACCCCCATTTTATATCTATTGTTGTGCTAGATAACGTAGAGTGACCAAAAAGCTTTAAAAAGTGCGGTTGTTGGCCAAAAAATAGGGAGGTTGTGCAGAGGAGAAAAAGCTTGAATAGAAGATGAAAATAGTGCTAAAATATGCCACGGATTAGATATCTGTTTCCTGCTGTGTAGTACACATTTAATAAGGTAACAAATGTCAGGACAGTCTTCCAGATTTTAACTTTAGCATGCTCACCCCATAAGATGCTGCATTATGAAGAGGAATTAAACCGCCTTTGTCCTGGGCATTAACGTCTGCTCCGTGCTCTAGAAGGTATTCAGCTACTTCCAGGTTATTGTAGCCTGCTATTAAAGTACAAAAGGTGAACACGTCAGCTTAAGAGAAAAAAATTTACATATACAGACCAGAAAAATGTTACAATTTTAATTCCATTTGCTTCAATAACTAATACTATTATGACACAACTGAAAGCTGTCACAGTAAGAAATTATACTAAATTATGTCAGTCAGAAGCATTTTACTAAGCAGTTCCTTTCATGCTCAGAATTTTGTTCATCTTCTGGTAAACCATACGAGGCACCCAAAAAAGGAAAATAAGGCTTGGCAGCACTGGCGACGCTTACCTGCCAGGTGCAGAGGAGTTGAATTTCTGCCCTGGGTGTCTCTGCAGTTGATATTCTCTGGGGTGCAAAGCTTCTGCACTCTTGCCAGGCAGCCCTTCTTGGCAGCATCCAGCAAGGCAGCATCCCCTCTCAGTAGGTCCTGAATGTCTGTGTCCCCCTCTTTGACCAAATCTAGAGGTGTGTTTCCATCCCTGTTTTTTTTGGTTGGATCTGCTCCATGCTACAAAGAAGTCAAACAAGTGAGGTTTGCATTTTCTGTAGTATCTTTATGTAGTCAGGTAGTATGCTTATGCTTACTCATTTAACTTTCTTCACCTTTAGTCACTGAGGGAAGATACGTATTCTGTATGCATTTTGAAAAAGAGAAGCCCGTCTTGTTTTATTTAATAAATTCTTTACTTAGCAATACAGTGGGTCAGTTTTCTAGCTACTAAATTAAAGCCTCAGGATCAATGCTGCTGATTAAGTGGGGAAGGTGTTGAATATCTTTTACTCTTTACTGTTATATACTTTTTCTCAAGTCTCCCAAGTTGTCACTGGAAACTTCTTTTTACAAATGTCCTGGATATTAATTCTGGCCAGACTTCAATTACATAAAGAGACTTAGTAGGTATCATGAGAAAGATTAGAAAAGTATAAAACACAGAGGTGGGAGAGGATTAATTCTAAATGCCATCAGTTAAAAGAAAAAGGTCTGGCATTTAAAATTCTTTTTAATTTAGTCCTGCCATCTGTCATGTCTTGATTTAAAAACTTTCATCATCTATGCCTATGAAGGAAATGCCAATTTCTTTTTGTATTACAGGTTTGATACAGATTACTTTGGCCGACTGTGGACATAAGGACTAATCCAATTTAGACAATGAAGTCACATGATCTGGATTTTTTTTTTAAATAATCAGTGAAAATAAAAATTATCAAACATAGCAGTTTCCTTAAGACAAATAAAAGTGGTGGAAGAAGACATATCTTATTGGAACAATTTTTCTCTAGTTAAAAAAGACAAAAAATAACATATGTAAGTTTGTACATTTTTATGTCATTTAACTTTTAAAACCCACAAATTATTATTAGCATCACAGAATTACTGGTTTCTACTAGTTCACATTTATCCCCAAAATTTAACTGAATAATTTTTACAGATTAACTTACATTTTAATAAAAATCTGATAACAAGTAAGTTCTTAAAACCGTAAGCGTTTAAATGTTTAATAATGAATGAGTTAGTTAACAATAAAATAATGGTAAGAAATCAGTAAAATTTTTTGCTCTTTGTACCACAGAATATTTTTCTGCTATTAATAGTGTAAGTATTAGATACACAATACAAAGTAAACCAACTCCTTCCAAAACCTACTTTGATGAAATGACCTTAACGAAATTCATTCAGAAAGATACTTCGGGCACTACTCAGAGCTATGTAAGTATCACGATAACACACAAACATTTTTCTGAAAAAAACAGAAAATGGAAGCAGTCACTATAGCACTTACTGTTCCTAACAGAGAAAAACAATTTCAAGTAATAAGAAAAAATAATTACTTATATAACTACGTACTTTTAAAAGGAGCTTGCAGATTTCATATTTTCCTTTGGCTGCTGCTTCATGTAGAGGGGTAAATTTCCATAAGTCCGCCACGTTAACAGAAGCTCCATGCCTCACTAAAAGCTCAGCTACCTCATAGTGTCCATAGGAACAGGCATTATGAAGGGGCACCAGGCCGCTAAGCAAAAGAAAATTATTTTCACCACTATAGCACATAAATTATTTTCAAGTTGTAAAACAAATCTTTGAGTTAAAATGATTCTTATAACACTCTTCAATGGCACCAACTATACTGAATACCCACCTATGAGCTCTATGAGTAATGTCCTTTAGTCTCTTTAGATATAGTCATTTGTTTGTAAAAAAAGACTAACAATTTTAAAAAGTTTTCCTCAATGTAAAGACTTGTCCTCTGTCGATGGGGATGGACATATATGGTATGGTTTGTGTCTAGATGTCCCCCCCAAAGCCTCAGGCAGGCATGGGGCAGGCTTCTAGAGTTTATGATGGATCCATATTCAAACACTGGGATAATGGGTGTGAGTAGCTTTCATACAATAAAAGGGAGGAAAACAGGCTTGCTCTCTGCCATTTCCCATTTTTGTTCTGTTGCTTTTGCTGTTTTGTGCCACCATGAACGACTGCCCTCTGCCACATGCTATTCTGCCTTAGAGCCAGTGGGGTATGGACTGAAACCTCTACAAACTGTGAGCTAAATAAACCTTTCCTTCCTTAATTCTGGATGTCAGGTATTTTCTCCCAGCAATGAGAAAAAAGTAACCAACACAATGTCACAGCCGTCATTATCCTTAAAATACATAAAGAAATATATTTACAAAATAAAGTTCCATCACAATAGAGTACTTTTGTTGAGCATGGTGGCACAAGCCTATAATCCCAGCACTTGGGAGGGTGAGGCAGGAGGATCCTTGTGAGTTTGAGACCAGCCTGGGCTACAAAGTGAGCTCAAGGCCAGTCAGAACTGCACAACTAGACCCTGTCTCAAAAAGACAAAACAAAATAAAACAAAACCAGTGGAGTACTTTCAATTCAGATTTTTACCCTGGCAATCTGAAGATCTATACTACAAAGTCATTGCAGGAATAAGTTGCCAACAATCTGGTTTTATCATCTCTCAGATTTTCTTCCCATTTAGGTTCTACTAATGAAAATTCTATGCTTATAACCAATGGGATTCTACTTATTTGGGCAGGTCCTACCTTCATTTTTGCTTATTTTTAAATTCCTAATGACTCATAGTGGTTTGTGTGTAAAGGTTTAGATATTGGAGTGCCAAGCAATGAAAACTCACAATGCAAGTGATTCTCACTATGAAAATAATGATGCAAATTATAAATTCTCAGATAAGAAAATCTAGTTACCTCCATTTATGCAAACTATTCTCAGGTGACTCTCAGTTCTAATTAAAAAGCATTTGACATTTTAAAAGGACAAAAAGATGTCCTATGAAAAGGGTATATCCAGTCACGTATGGTGGCAGAGCCCTATAATCTTGACAATCTGGGAAGTTGAGGCAGAAGGATCACAAGTTCGGGCCCAGTCTGGGCAACTTTGTGAGACTCTGTCTTAAGAAGGGGGAGGAGAATGAGATGTAGAATCTAAACAAGATGACAGGAATGCAGAAGGGAGACTATTATTTGATAAGAGGAAGGGGAGAAGGGGGAGAGAGGCAGTGGGTAAGAGAGGGCATGGATATAACCAGGATTCATTATGCACACTGGCTCTCCCTGAGGAAAACAAGTGAAACGAGGGAGTGGAGTAAGGAGGTGTTGGGGGGGATTAAAATGTGTTATGTTCATGTACAAATCTGCTGAAATGAAACCCATTAATCTGTATAACTAAAATATACTAATAAAAAAAGTGAGAAAAGGGGGTAAGGATATAGCTCAGTGTGATGGCCCTGGGTTCAATGCCCAGTACCACTGCTGCCCCTCAAAAAGGGTAAGTTCCACTTTAGATATGGCAAAAACAAGGTATCATTAAGTGCCTTTTTAGAAAATGTTTTGTGATGAAATATACTAGGTGCTAAAATAAGCATCAGAAACAAATACTGGTTGCTCCCAAAAGCACTACAGTATTTTGAAAGAGCTGCTTATATTTGAAATATAATATTCAACTGTTATTGAATATTATATTTGATATACCCCTTAAAAACACAATAGTTAATTGAAGCCTAAATTGTGTAATTCAATCCTACAGCACTTTGGTATGTAACTGCACAGAAAGGTGGTCGTTTATTTTGAGATGATATGAAATTTACTCAGAATACAGAAATTCATCTCAGTGAAAATTTCCTTACATTTCTAAGTAGCTTCCATGGCTACTTTAAGCTTTGTCTGGATAAAGTAAAATTATCAAACTAATATAAAGACATAAAATAGTTAAACTAGTAAAAATAAAGTTATTAATACTGATGATTCTGGAATGGATGGCTTCTTTTTTGGGAGATATTATAACATTTTTAATAGCAAAATATGAAATAAAGGGATATAGTAAATCACAAACTACATGAAAACACTCATATAATGCAATAAAATTCTATATACAGGTGTTGAAAGGGTGAGATGAACTATTAAGTACCAGTATGGAGACACACCAAGGTAAATTGCAGAGAACCGCATTACCATTTGTGTTAAAAACCACCACCACCATAGCACATAAATACTGGTACAGTCATTTGAAACAGCTGGAGAATTACATATAAAAATGTTCATATTATATCTCCAGGTGCTGGGCTCATGGAATTTTCACTTTTTATACTGTACCTTTCTATAATGCTTTCATATATGGTTTAAACAAAAAAACATACATACTATTTTTTAATGGGGAAAAAAATCTGACTTCAAAACTACTTCAAAAACTTTAAATAAAATATATGAAGAGAAAGATCCTAAGTAGCTAAATCTGCACTTACCCTTTGTCTTTGGCATGGACGTCAGCACCATGGTGCAGAAGGTACTCCACGACAGACACACGATTGTAGCCTGCCGCGAAGTGCAAGGGTGTAGAATGCCGGCCCTCTAGATCTCTGCAATTCACATTTTGGGGGCTGCAAAGTTGCTTTTATGGGGTAGACACAGAGATACACACAAAGAGAACATTAATATTTATTCATAGGCTTTCTTCTACAATAGTGTAGCAGCCTGAATATGTCATAATTTTCTAATGAATATTTACTTCCAAAGAATAGGTAATACAAATGATACTTAAAAATCACACAATGCTTGGCTTTACAATGACTGCAAAATACTCTTACTATGTGTAGTGTAATTTAATCTTTGTCAACTTTTCCTGGCTCAATTCTTACTCAAATAGAAAAACTCACAATAAAGGAGGTATTTCCAAGCCAATGAAACCTTTCTTCTGCATCTCTGAAAGTCTCTGCTCCCTGAGAGTGCTTATCATAGCATATCTGCTTATGTTAGAATGCCATGAGCTATACTTCACTCAAATAAGAGTAGCTCCCGTTGTCTATAAAACTACAGAGTTCTGTCCCCTCTCATGTGGATGAAACAAGCAAAGGGATCTGGAAAGATTACTTTTCTGCTTGGGCCACTCACTTGGGTCTTTGACACCCTATAGCAAGAAGCCTTGAAGTCAACAATGCTTTACAATAGTGCTTTAAGGGGATGTTTAATCCCACAAATCAAAATCATTTTATTTTTTTGGTACCAGGAATCAAACTCAGGACTTTGCACTTGCAAGGCAGGTGACTGTGCCACTGAGCTATATCCCCGGCACTCAAAATCATTTTAATCACACTCTAGCTTTAACCTTTACTTCCATCTCAATCTGAGCTGTCCTCCAAATTTCCTATCTTCTTTTGTTCCTTTAAATGTTACCATTTCTGCAGAATATAAATTATGAGCTCAATTATGTTTTTTTTAGCAGTAGGAAGCTAAGAAGGAATGAGAGGCCACATCACTGGTGGTGATAGGTAAACTATAACAATGTGTGAATAATAATTTATAATGTAAAAGAACATCACTCTTTCAGTGAGATTATATCTATCTGTGAAGTTAATCAGTATCTTCACTTTACAGATAAACAAACCCAGGCTCAGACAGCTTATGTGACTTATCCTGTTCAATAGTTGTAAGGGGCAGCTTAAAGTTTCAATCTGTTTTACTGATTTTTAATTTCTTGAACTTTTAGCAAAAACATCAAACATCATATATCATTATTCGCTTTCTTAATTATTCAACTTTGAGGAAGTGATAAGAAGAAAGGTAAAGAGAAGATGAAAAGTAGTGGAGAAAACAGTGGCATTTCCAAGGCTACCAAGTATGATGGGAGAGAATTTCTAGGGTATTTGCAAATCTTGCTGTCACTCTTGCCACTGTAATGTGCTATTATGACATAGAAACTAAGAATGTAAAAGATCTTTTTCTGCTCATATACTGAGTAGGAGTGCTATGGTTTCAACGGTTGTGTCCCTCCAAAATTCATGTTGAAACTTAATTTCTAATGCAACAGTATCAAAAGGTGTAGCTATTAGGAAGCAATTAAATTCTGAGGGATCTTCTCTTGTGACTAGGATTAAGGACCTTACAAGAGGCACACATAGCATTCTGTTCTTTTTGCCCTCCTGCCATGTGAAGATACAGCATTTGCTCCCTCCAAGGAATGCAGCAAGAAGGTGCCATCTTGGAAGCAGAATGATTGGTCCCCACCAGACACTGAACTCACTAGAGCCTGAATCCTTAGACTTCCCAGTCTCTAGAACTGAAAGAAGTTAAGTTTCTATTCATAAGTTACCCAGTTTATATTTTGTTATAGCAGCACAAATGCACTGAGACAGGAATATTCACACTGGTAAGATAAAAACAAAAGCCTTAATGTATATAATTTTCATATGACAGGAGGAAGTCTGGCCAGCAAGGGAGAACTCATAAATTCATCAAATCTAGATGAAAAGGCACCAGCCTCTAAAAGTCTAAAGAGCCATTATTACCTGGCCAGGTGAGGCATCTTATAATTTCTGTGAGTCTGTGGCTACACTAATACACAGATAAGACAACTGATAAATACAATTATGTGAATATGATACATATATGAACTAAAAAGAAAGATTATAAAAATTGGTAGTAAGATTCTTCTATGAAGTCTTATACAATGGAAACTGCTCCCTGATGTTGCCTTTCCTCCTGGGTTTTATACTCTAAATGATTATTATTATTTTCACAGTGAATATTAGAAAATTGGGATATGGCAGGGAAGGAAACAACCAATTTTGGGATGTTAAAAAAGCAAAAGCCCATCCTGCTTATTAAGTATTTGCATTTTTATATTTGTAAGTTCTTTGTCTCTCTTGTTCTATTTCTTTTTTTTTTTCAGTTTTAAAAGGTTTTAATTAAATTTTACCCTGGATTTACAGTGGCTACTCATAGGTTAGTTGTCAAGCAATGAACGTCTACAAACACAGTAAGACTTTTGTGCTCTGGGGATGTGATGTATAAAGACTTGGGAGCACATTCAAAATTCAGTCAGATTTCAGATGTCCATACAGTCTGGTTACTTCCAGGCTTTCTTGTCTTTTCCTGCAGGTCTGTGCAAATCCTAGTCAACTGGGGATGTAGCTTTGGAGTTCTTGAGGCTTCTTTGCACATATGCAAAGGCTTCCAGCTAAACAGGATCTGTGGAGCACCCAGATAGTTCTCCTTTGGCTCTCTTGTCTCCCTTTCTGTCTTTCAAATACCTGACTAGCGCAACAGTCTCAGTAGTCTACTGCTCAGTCCAAGTGAGACTGAAAGGACGGTAGCTCAGGGTAGTTCAGCCATGAATGGGCTTTCACCATTCACTTTACTGAATTGCTTTTTCTGCTCATAGTACAAGTGGTATGGGTTTTTTGCCCTCCATGTCCAATGAAATATCCTAATGCAGCAGTGAAATTGCTAGTTTTTATGGTCAGCTCCTCTCTGGCAGCACTATTACATTTCTTTTTGAATGCCAAGACAATTTTATATCCTTCCTATTTTTCATAATTTCAAATTCTTTATTCTGCAAATGGTTTTTTCTTCTAATATTTCTAATACTTTCTAAAGTTCTTGGGAAACACATCTATCAGGCCTGATTCTCCCTTAATTTGTGCCACTTTCACGTATACATTCTATTAAATTTTAAAAATCATTTTATTTACCAAAAATAACTTTGGCCTGTATTGTGAATATATTGTTTAGCAAACTTCAAAGCTATAGTATGTATTTGCCTAAAAATTATATATTTAAAAATGCTGATTATAATAAGCACATGTAGCAATTTTAGTGCTGAGATGATCATGTCATAATGAAGAGAATGAATCCTAACTGCTTAAGGATTTTTTGTTACTAGAATACATTTCAAGTGATAAAAAACAAATACAGTTTTAGATCTAAGAAACTTTAAAAATTTTCCCTAGGGGGTATGACAACTAAAATTTATTTTTTAAACAATAATGTAGACACTACTGTGAGACGGAAGAGACCCTGAAAGTGTCCACATACTGAGACTAAAATAAAATTTCCAGGCAACAGAAATTAGTGCTTATTGTCATCTTCAACTAGCATATGTCATCAAGAATGCTAACATTATTTTGCTTAAAATAATGAAAGTAGAGTTTGCTTCATAAGAGGTGACAACCTAGTTTGCAAAAAGTAACATTTTGCAACTAGCCTTTCTTTCAAAATAATAAAAACAAAGATCAAATCCCAAATAAAAATTATTATCCCTTCTGCTAATTTTATCCCTGAATGAACGATTATTGATGGCAACTGTAGTTTTAGAAAATCAATATCAGAATTTTATCTTGAAAAAAATTAAATCTACAACCACTGTTTCTATACTGCAAATAAAGAGCGACAATGTCTTCTCAGTAAGTATAATCATACAGAAAAAGAAATTTATCATTTATATATAAATAATTCTCAGTGGTTGAGGGATCATAAGAATGCTTTCCTAAAATAAATATGAGAATTTCTGGGAAAAGATCAAGAAATATAATTTCAAATCTTATCCTACTAGTACCTAGACTTGAACTAGTTCACATATTTTATGACTATGACTTAAAAAAATGCTTCAATTAATATAAGGGAAATAAAAACTTTCATGCAACCTGAATATAAATAACTAAAAAGCATGCACATATATGTACACATGTATGTGTGCATATTTATATAGCTATGGTTTAATTGTCATATTCCATATATATACTGGGGAATCCTCAATAGTAAAGATTTCTCCTATCTATAGATCTATTAAGTCCATTTGAAATTTTATTTTGTTTTTATTGTTTGACTTTGAGCAGTTTTGTTTATAAGCTTAAAAATGAATTATGCTGTGAAGCTTAACGGTGCTAACCCAAACATCAAGGACACTGACTTACCTTCACAGTTTCCAAGTCACCAGCTTTCGATGCCTCTAAGAGTCGATAGTCAACATCAGAAGTACGTATAGGTGTGCTCTCTGCATAAAAGAAAGGAAATGTTACACTTGAAAATGTTACACTGGGGAATTACAGAGCAGTCAAGGAGGTAAAATTATATATTGAGTAGAAACAGATTAATGAGTTGTAAATTTCTGATACAACATAAGTACTTCACCCAACCTTTTACAGATAAGAACTATGTGCTTTCTTACTCCAATCTATATATCATCTAAAGCCAAACTGAAATAAATTTTAAAACATACAAACCCTTCTCTATCTGTACTATCCTATCCCTCAGATTTCCTGGTTATAAGTTTGACAGATGGTAGTGAGGAAAACCTAAGACTAAGAGAATGAAAACATTTATGACACATTGGTGTCACAAAACCTTGCCATAGATTTATTACATAAACTCAAGGAAGCTACCTGATTTTTACTATTTAATGTTCAATTTTTCCTTTTTAGCTTTAGTGTCCTCAATATAAAACAGAAGAACTACTCTTGAAATCAGAATAATCTTAGAATGTATAATTAGTGAACAAAAAAGGCCTACTATAGACACTTATTTAATTTACATTTATTGAACGGCTTCAGGGGAATGAAATTTAAAACATCTGTATAATTAGAAGGCATGGTACCAATGCTAAACATAATATAATTAAGTTGGGCTCTTAAGTCAAAAGGTTGAAAATGAGATATTTTGATTAATCCATATAAACAAACCAGAATTCATTGTACTATGTATAACTTTGGATAATCATGACATGTTTCACTTTTGCACCTAAAAATTTAGAGTTGGTTTTCCTCGAAAAGGTGACAAACTAGTTTATAAAAAGTAAAATGCAGATTTAAGACTGCATTATCTTATGATCAAAGATAACTTTTGAGGCTACTGTCCAAGCGGGAAGGTCAAATGATGCTATGAAAAGGTTTTAGACTTTAGAAGAAATACTTTAGTACTAAAGTAGTTTGTTCAGGACAGTGACTTTTACAGAACAAGTTATGAGAATTTTTCAATGGAAGATAAATTATTTCATCAGAGTAATATTTAGCAGATGAAGTTTTAAGAGGGCAGCTCATATAATAAAGTATATTTCTAAAGTATTTCTTAGAAAGAGAATTATCTTTGTTAGTTTATTGAATTATTGAGGAAAGAAACCAGATCCTTGCTCATTTTCCCATTCCTATATATATGGAGAACATTCAGAAAGTATTTGCTGAGTTGATTTTCATGCCATTTTATTTAGCATCAATGGGTACATCAAACCTTAGCTCTTTCTTTGGCTGCTTCTATTATGTTCTTTCCTGTCTCATATGTCTTCCTCCTAATTATGGACAGAAACACTGCACTTATAAGTAAGAATGCCTTTGCATGTGTATTATGTTTCTAAAACGTGATTCTGGCAGTTGACAAAACTCACTGAATAGCCTTTGGATACCCACAGGTAATATTTTTATTTATCCCTTGAACAAACAAAAAAGGGTGATTGTTTATGTATGTAAAGTTACAACTTAGGACATTTTTAGATTTTAGCATTGAGAGATTAAATTAATATGGCTGAGATTTTAAATTCTAAGAAACTTTGAAATTGACCCATTTATTTTCATGAAGACTGACTAAATAAAAGATATAATTTTCCAATGAAAAAATGTTTTATGCATATGTAAGATGCTTGTAAGAACTATGAAGAAGGAAGAAGAGAAAGTAAAGATACTGATTAACATGTTCCTGCCAGCTTGAACCACGGGTAGTACATTCATGACTGTGCCACTGGGTGGCTTATACCACTGCTGGTACAAATGGCTCTAATCACTTTTATCAGTCTCCTTATTAAGAGAATTAATAACAAGTTGTCTGGTGGCACAGTCAAGCATGTACCATCAGAAGTTCAAGCCTTCTGTCAGTGAAAACGTATAAATCATTGCCCAGTAGTGAATGTGTTATATCTTTCAATAGGTTCAGAACGGACATGTTTGTATAGATAATATGAACAAAGTATTAACTGGAGGAAGGTAGGATATATATAGTCCACGAACTTTGTAGAAAGTTACATACAATTAAAAGAAGAAATATCAAAGATAAAGTTAAACAAGGAACACAGGGAAAAGAAGAGTAGCTGATATGCAAAGTACTATATTAGTAAAATATTCGGTAAGTACAGTGGCTTTTGCAGAATATGAAATTAAAGATGTTATCTACAGTCACAGATTGGACATGGGCTTCTAATTTTTTTCCCTCTGATCTTAGTCTGGTTCACCAGAATTTTTAAAAGTTTCAGAGGTTGGGATGCAGTCTCTTATTTTCAAATAATCTCTTGCAGACTGGTTCTTTAGGGTTAGACCACTGAATTGGTGGCAGGGCTTAGCAGTTTATTGCAATGAGTCACTGTAAGTAGGATCCCAATGTGTAGTGTAGCAATCTTAAGTCCCTAAATACTTCTCTGTGGAAAGGATTAGATGAAAGTAATTGTTATCCCACATGAGGATAAATAATCGGAAGAATTCAGCTCAAGATCTAGCCTAAAGAACTACCTGTGACACTAGAAATAGTCTTTTATTTGTGCTGTTTAATATGATAACTGATAGCCATGTGTGACTATTACATATCTGAAGGATGGCTAGTGGCTAAATGATTTTCAATCTGGCTTGTTTTGCTTGTTTGTGTATGTATTTATGTAAGACTGGGGATCAATCTCAGGGCCTTCTGAATGGTAGAAGAATACTCTGTAACTGAACCAAACTTCCAGCCCCAATTTTACCAAGCTTAAGTGAAGTCACATGTGGTTAATGACTATCACACTGGATAGAGCAGGTCTAGAGAAAGCAGTGAAATCTTCTGAAATGCTACTTTAAAATGATGATTCATAAAAATAACTGCTTAGTTTCTTTTTTTACTCTGGCACTATCTGATACAAATACTGCCAGCAGTATACAATGAAAAACATCATTAACATAAACTGACCTAGTATGTAAAAACATGCATGTTTTTAAGGCTGATATCAAATCTGGTATTAGGAGTTATATTTAAAAGAAACTTTAAAATGCTAGCTAGAACTGAACCCTAACAACTTATATATTCTATGTGACTGGTATAGTCTTTTAGGAGTCATTACAGATACATCCTAGAATTAGATTAAAAAATGTAGGTAAAACTGTGAAGATCAGCTGTGCATGGTCCATAATCTATCAATACACAAATTTCTGGTAGAAATAATTTAAACATTACATACTCTTCCAAATATGAAATAGTTCCTATTTTTAAAAAAGGACTTTGTAACAGGTATTGTTACACCATGTATTTCTATTTCTTGTATTATCTTTCTAGGTCAAAGAAGAACATGAAACACTAAACTAAAAACTTCTGCTATGCTCCAAATTAAGCATGTAATTATTTTAATGTTTAACTTTGCAAATAAACTTTAAAGAATTATCAAAATAATTGAAAAAGATTTCAATTATGATTCATTATTTAACTTTAACTAAAAGTCATATTTTAACTGCATTTATCAAGAAGACATTTAAAATCATTATATGAAAAAATATGGTTCTAATCTGCTTCATTTGTTCAATCTATTTTCCTCATTTTGTTAATCATCTTTAAAAATTATGTAAAGTATTATTAGTAATTTTGATGCAACTGCTATATATTTGCCTGATTTATGGTTACAACTTATGGAAACTAACTTAAAACTCTATACTAAATAATTCTGAAAGTATAAGAGAAAAACTTAAAATATTTTAACAAAAAATAAATTTTAAGTTATTAGAATTTATTGAGATGGCAGAAATATTTCTTAATCCAACAGTAATATCTTCTTTAAGCAAATACTCCACTGTTCTGTGCAAAAAGAAAGAAGCAGTCATGCATTTAGTGGCTCAAACTTGAATCCTATAATGGAAAAATTCATTCCTTCAGAGATTGTCCTCATTTTGATGTCCTCATTTTGATAGTGAAAATGCTCTATAGGTTTTCCTTCACTGTCTAACGATCATCATCTAAGATTCAAGTACAATGACTGCCATCTAAGAATAAACTAGAACAAAGAAGGTAAGTCCTAGTCAATAGTTTTCACAAAGTTACAATTATTTTCATGATTAGTGCTGATTCAGCCCTAACAACATATACTTTTCATGATCTCTCTATGCCCTGGAAGGTCCTGTGTTTTTACCAAGTAGCAGTGCTTCTCAACTAGGTCAAGCTTCTTGATGGTCCCTTAAAATTTGTGGAAGCAATTTTGGTCTTCTAGTGTAGTCATGTCCAAGCTATTAACCAAACGTTACAAATTATTTTATTGTAACTTACTGTTATTTTCTCCCTTTATCATTGTGGGAATATTTTACATAGATTTCTGGGAAGGTATTTGTATGTTAGGTCATATCACCGATCATCTTCATTTCTGCACAGTACAGAGGATAACAAAATATTTGCTAAAAAGGAGGTGTTAGGGCTTGTGTTTAGATGACCCCTAAACCTTTATGCCATCATACGTGGGGCTTTTTCAGAAGTAGCTGGAGGTAGACGGTGTGATGCTGGAATTAATTCTTAGCTCAATGCTGGGATCAAAGGCACTGGGATTAAAGGTGTGAGTGTTGTCCACTCTAAGTAATCTGGATAAGATAAAAGGGGCAGAAAGGCCCTGTTACTGTCCCTTGCTTGCTTGCTTTTGGTATCTTCTGCTTGCCATGAACAGGTTCTCCTCTGCAATGCCCCTTTGCCAAGCCACCTGACCTTGTAGCCAGCTGATTTTGGACTGAAACTTCAACAAATTGTGAGAAAAAAAACACTTTTCCTTCTTTATCTTTGGGTGTTGAGTATTTTGACTCAGCAATGACAAAGGTAACTAAGAATTTGATACAGAAGTGGGGCTGTTGCTGTGACTATACTTAACCATGTGGTGCAGGAATCTTTGAGATGGCTTGTGGGAAGAGTTTGGAAAGGTTCAGAGATGCCAACTGGAAAAGCAGAGCTTCTCTGCTCTTCAGAATGCCTTAGGCTATTCTGTATGGGAGAATTTTTCCAGCTTTTCAGAATGCCTTAGGCTATTCTGTATGAGAGATTCTGGTCAGAGCTCGGAAGACCAGAAGGCTGACAGAAATCCTGCCCATGAAGACCAGGTTTGGGAGGTTTCTCCTGGGAAGGACTGCATTGATTATTAGACTCCAGATGATGTGTGTTATGCCTTGTCAAAAAGTTTGTCTGCATTTTGCTTGTGTCCAGAGACTTTGCCTGAGACTAAGATTAAGGGTGGCTGACTAATCTGGCAGGAAAAATTTCAAGGCAGTCTAATACTGAAGCAGTGGCGCTGCTAGTACTATGGGCTCTTAGCCAGACTTATGCTGAGAATCAAGGGCAAAGAGCCTAGCAGAAACATTTAAAATGTTTTGAATTTGTCCAGAAAGGAAGCTCTAGTAAAGCTGTGGACTGCAAAGATAGCGCAGAGGAGATCTTGATTGCTGGGAAAGAACAGGAGAATAGAAAAGATAATGTAAAGGTATCACAAGGAGTCATAGGACTCCACCCTTTGCAGCCTCAAAATTGCAAAAGTGAAAAACTCTGCTTTGAGAAGAAAGCTCCAGGATACCATGTTCCAGAATGGCAGTGGCCTAGGGAACTTGTTTCTTGGGATGTGTTTCATGGGCACTGGACCTCTACAGTCAAGAGAGAAGGAAGCCTGGCTACTGCTCCACCTGGCAGCACAACCAGTCACCATCCATGTGGTGCCGGTTTTAGGCACAAGCAGAGTGTAAGAGTTGTGGGGTTCAGGAGGGCTCCTACCCACATTTCAGGAGAAGGCCTGGGAGTGCAGGCAGTGTGCCCTAAGAGGGCAGTGTGTGAAGCTGTGCACGCAAAGCCAAAGGTGCAGTGAAACCCAGAGGTCTAGAGAAGCCAGGAATGTGGACTGTCCAAGGAAAACTGCAAGGAGGGAGCAGAGTGGGCCCCAGAGAGAAGCCACAGGAGCTACTATCACCAAAAGTGCTGTAGAGGCGGAGCCACCCAAGCCCTTTGGAGTTCACAACTTGCCACAGATTGCTGGGGGTGCTGCAAGTGGAACTGTGGGATTTAATACTTGCTCTACTAGACTTTGGGTTTGCTGTTTCCATTCCTTGCTATTCCTGTTGGTAACTTTTGGAATGCAAATGTTTAATTTGCGCCATTGTATGTTGGAAGTGTTTAACTTTCTTTTCATTTGCACAGGGTTGCAGCTAAGAGTGCCTTAAATCTCAGAGGAGACTTTGGACTTGGACTTTTCAGCAGTGCTGAAACTATTAGGACTTTGGCAACTCTCAGAGATAGAGTAAATGCCTTTCCATAAAAGGATGCGCATGAGTATTTGAGGGGCAAGGAGGTAGAATGTTATGGCCTGTGTTTAGATGTTCCCCCAAAGCCACATGCTATTGTATGTGGGGCTTTTTCAGAAGTGGCTAGAGGTAGACTGTGCAGCACTGGAATTGATATAGTGCAATGCTAGGATCAAATGCACTAGGATCAAGGGTGTGAGTACTATCTATCCTAAGCAACCTGGATAAGATAAAAGGGGCAGAAAGGCACTGTTAAGGTCCCTTGCTTGCTTTTGTTGTCTTTTGCTTGCCATAAACAGGTTCTCCTCTGCAATGCCCCTCTGCCAAGCTACCCTGCCTCTGAGCCGAGTGATTCTGGACTGAAGCCTCTACAAACTGTGAACAAAATAAACTTTTCCCCCTTTATATTTGGGTGCTGGGTATTTTGTCTCCGCAAGGGGAAAAGTAAAGGGCACTGTGTTTGATAGAGTTAAGAACGATTGGGCTATAGGTAGGAAAAAGTAACCATGACTTCTGACTACTAATCTGTAGCCTTCTCCATTTTATTCTTTCAGTTTATGTCACTCTATAGTAGATAAAATTTACAGACAAAATTAAAAAGAAGGGAAAAAAGAGCAAATTTCACTCAATTTCTTTTGTGCCAAATTCTCATTTTTCAGTAGGCTGACTGTGTTACCTCTTCCAATTTTGGGAAGCTAATGCTTATTTTCATATCAGTTTTATATTTGAGTGCCCTCAAAAAACTAATTGAGATACATCATGCTGTGTATGCATGCACAGTGACATTCAGAAAGATTTTATAATTATATTTAAACCAGAAAAATACAAGATTAATTTCATAATGGTATAATTGAATTAAAAATGATGAAAGCATATCAGAATATTATATATATATGAATAATATATATATATGAACAATTAAAAGTCATTATCACAGTGGTGATTTTTAAAATCTTCTCTACCTGACTGATTGTAGAGCTATCATAATTCCAGTTTTTATGTATTTTGCATCACCTTTGATGATGTCAGGTTTTCAATTTTAAGCTATGAATATTAGTATTTTTGCCTCCTTTTGAAACGTATCTTATCCCACTAAAAAAGGGATACTGGGAAGGGCACGGCCTAAATTGCATGCAAAAGCAGCCATAAAAAAATTGGGGCCAAGAAAATATTTCAGAAAGTGACTTAAAACAAGTGGTGTAAAGTTTGAGTATGTCAGCAGAAATAGGACAGAAAGTGGAAGACACAGCCTATCTTTTAACTCACCACTCAGAATCTGCTGTACTGCTTCGTTTCCCATTTGTGCTGCCGTAAAGCCTTGCAAGGAGATGATGGAGGGATCAGAGCCGTAACTCAGCAGGAGGCGGCAAGTTTGCAAGTGACCTGCGAGGGCGGCTCGATGCAAAGCTGTCTGACCAAGGGTGTCCAGTGCATTCATCTGAAAAACCATTGGATAGCACATTGGTAAGCTCCCTTTTACACCTCAGCAAATAAAATCCCTATAAGAGAAATTACCTGTGAAAAGCTTTTTGAAAACTGCCACAGGCACTATTAGTAACTTTTGCTCACTAGTTCTAAAAAAAGAAATCTTACTACCTTTCTCTGACCACCTTATTCAAAATTACAACATAGCCGTCCCTTCCTTGAATGATCACCTTCCTGTCCACTTTCAACTTCCTTCAACTCCTCTTGACAGCAAGAATGTAAGGTCTGAGGCAGTAGGGACTCTCGTCTGGTCACAGTGAAGATGGTCACCAAATACTTTCGAATGAGTGGGTTTAATCACACTTTCCCAGAATAGAAAGACAATAGAACATGTAAGCAAACACTGGCAAAACAGCTAATTATGTCTTCCCTAATTTTAGGAAACACTTGATTATACAGGTTTGAGGGTCCTTAATCTGAAATGCTTGGAACCACTAGTGTTTCAGAATTCATATTCTTTCATATTTTGGAATATTTGCATGTACGTAGGAGAGATCTTCGGGATGGGACCAACACTTAAAAAGAAAATTAATTTGTTTCATTTATACCTTATATATACAGTTTGAAGGTAATTTTATATCTTATGTTCAGTGCACCTACGTTTTGACTGTGACTTGTCATGTGAGATCAGGTATGGAAATTTTCCCTTGAGTCATATTGACACTCAAAAAGTTTCAGATTCTGGTGCATTTCAGATTTCATATTTTCAGATTAGGTATGCTCATACTATAACAGAATACTCTAAACTGAATTACAAGGACATTTAACTTAAAAATTATTTGAGAATTTGGATGTTCCATTTTTTTTTGGTCTTTTTGAGACAGGGTGTTGCTATGCAGTTCAGGTTGGCCTTGAGCTCACTTTGTAGCCCAGGCTGGCCGCAAACCTGCAACAATCCTCCTGCCTCAGCCTCCCGAATGCTGGGATTACAAGCATGCTCAGCTAGGCTATTTCATTTTTAAAACCTTGATACCAGAAACTTTTAAACATTTTAAACTTTTAAAGCTCTTATATAGAAAAAAGAACAACTTAGCTAGTTTCAAAAAAAAAAATTAAACTTTTGATTCATGTTCATAGTTTGGTCAAACCTAACTGATCCAAACCTATCTTCCTTGATGTCCCAGTAAATATCCTCTGTTTCAGTTAGACCGAAGTCCATGCTCATCGTACATGCTGCTCCTTTCAGAGAATCCCTTCTTTCTGTCTTTCTCAATTACAAGATCCCGGTCAATATGAATTAAATATTAGTAAATCTTAACTACTTTATTCTTAAATTAAAAAGTAGAGATACTTCGAGTATAATCTACATAAAACATTTTCTTATAAACTATTCTAAAATGTTGACTATCAAAATATACCAATTTTTGTACTAATGAGTATGAGGTGAAAATCTACTTGAAATGGCAGTGGTTATATTTTATTGCATTTTATAGAAAATTGATAGTAAAGAACAAGAAAACACAGGTATTTTATTAGAATTGATTTAAATGTTTTTGAGAAAAAAAAAAAAAATCAGTTTTTGAGGAGAGCCTATGAGTTTAAATACAAACTACTAGTCTTCAGAAAAATCACAGAGAAGGAGCAGCCTTAGCTGTTCAGCGCTGAGGCTGGCACTTCTCTTCAGGTGTGTGTCTTACCTTCGCTCCGTGCTTATGCAGCACTTCCATGACATCATTATGAGCTCTTTCAGCTGCGACGTGTAGAGGTGTCATGAAACTATGGGGAGAAAGGGAAAGGTAACTTCCTCTCTCGCTTTTGTTGTATTTCTTCAAATTTCAACAACTCTCTCTGCAATCACACTTACTCTTTATTTTTTTCATTGACATTTGCTCCTTTTCTAAGTAATAATTCTGTCACTTGTTTCCGTTTGGGATGTAAGGAGGCCACAGCACAGTGCTATAAAATAAACAAAATTAAGTTAATAACATAAACTCTTATTTAAAAGTAGAAGTCTGAATTAAATAGCATCCGCTGACTATTTAGGACACTGTTAATCACAAAGAGTATCAGAACATAATATATTTTATATTATGGAATGATCAATGAGCAATACTCCTAAATACACTACAAGTATAAAAGTTCTACCAGTTAAACACTTTACACATAAACCTATAAACCCTGGTGAAATTATGATTTTAGCATGAAGAGACTACATTTCTTTTCCTTTGGCCAATGAATACGTATTGAGGTATACTGCTGTGAAAGCATGAGGCACTACCTCTTCAAAGCTACAGGACTCTAGCACTAACTCAAGCCTGATTAGCTGTTGGTCACACAAGTCAGTTATCTCTTAAATTCTTCCACTAATGTATTCCCAGAAGTATGGGGAATAAACTTCTATGCCCAGGGACTGGCAAAATAGCGACAAACTGGAAGCAGTTTGGAAGAAGAAACAGTCTCGGAAATTTTATATTTTACTGTAATAATTACATTAGTTTTTATTCTGCTTCATTTTATGTTAAGGTCTATATTAAAATTTTAAAAATAAAACTACTTAGAACTGAGAAAAATCAGTACTGTTAAAAAAGCAGTTCAGTTTTATTCTGTGGCTTTGAGTTGTCCGGGTATAACGCTGTGCAGTTTGAGTGTACCAGAATCTCAGTTTGACAGACATGTATTTAAGAGTACATGCAGTTGATCTATCTGAGTTAAGAGAATTTTTTAACGTTGCTTTCAGAAGATAATAAATTTTGACCTTGGCGTGCCATATATGTGTAAGAATATTACCGAAGCCTTATGTAAAAGTCTGTGATATAAGTACCACATATGCTTAAATTCTCAATTGAGAAGCAATCACTAACCAGCCCTGTACCTGTGCTGTTATGTGCTCAATGCCATAGAAAAGAAATGAATCTTTTTCAAAGTGTATTAGACAAAAAAATGCATAGGTTTAATGGCAAGTTGTGCAGTCTGGAACACAAATTTGTAATCTTACCACTTTTCTGAATGAATACAACCAGTTACCTGAATAGAAATTGTTCAAAGAATGATGCAAGTATATCTTTGAAAATATTTTAATTTCCTACAAAAAATACAATATTTATCTAACGAACATATAAAAAAGCTTCTAACAAGATTATATTTTGTATTTTATAAAGGCATTGGGTGGGGAAGACAAAGTAAAATAATTTTCAAACTAAGACTGACAAACGTTTATTCTTTCATGCATGAAAAGAATCATCCCCTGAACCAAATGTAAAAACCAATGCAACCAAATTAAAAATTCTTGGCATTTCAGACAGTGAAGTCATTTTGAAGTTTTTGAAATGAAAAACATTATTTTGTGCTTGCATTACAATTACAGACTCAAAGAATGGGACAATAAAATCTTACCAGTGCCGTCTCATGAGACTGTGGTTGTTTGAAATTAATGATTTCCAAAGCAAGTGCTTTTTTCACTTTGGCTAGGTCTGCTTCTCTTGCTGCTTGTAGTAAAGAGTGACCTTTAAATTCATCTGGAAATGAAACAATGGTTAACATATAATGGTTTAAAATTTATTTTAAAGTATTTAGCATGATTATATATAACTAGGAAAATTATTAACTTTACATATTTCTCTATTTCACCAAAGGCAGCAATATGACAATAATAGTAATACAAATATTGAAGGTGTAGATTAATAAAAAAATTTGAAATATGTTCAAGATTTGCACTATTTTATACTCTGAATTCATAAAGATTCACCTACAAAGATACCACAACAGAGTTTTAAAAACTGGCAACCTAAATGTTCATTGAAAGGAAATCAGTTAAACAATTTATGAACATATACACTAGATAATTTTACAGCTCTCAAACAAAAGAGGTAGCTCTACACATACTGATATAAATATATATATACATATATATACGTATATATATGTGTGTGTGTGTGTGTGTATATATATATATTTTCAATTTTTGATTGTTTTTTGAGACAAGTTCTCGCTGGCTTTGAGAATTTGTTCAGCAATTCCGGCTGGCTTTGAAGTCACTAAGTAGCCCAGGATGGCCTTGAACTTGCAGTGGTCTTCCTGCCTCAGCCTCCTGAGTGACGGGATTACACCTGGCTCTGATATGAAAGAATGTATTATTAAATGGCAATCCCAGTAGCCAAAAAGAAAGGATGGGACGATCTCATTATTTTTGTATTGTTACTACTTTTGCTACTCCTAACGCCAACACAAAAACAAGTAATAGCATAGAAAAAGATATTTAGGGAAGTACTCATTAGAATATTAAGTGATTATGTCTTTGCACAAAGAAATGAAATATGGGAGAACTATTTGAGCAAAAAATTTTGAAATAATTAAAATTTTATACTTTTATAAGCAAACAAGAGACTTTTTAAACAAAATCCATACCTAAATTAGTTGCATAAATAAAAATCCAATATTGTTCTCCCTCTTTTAGTCGTGGTAAGTATTCAACCCAGGGCCTCATACAAGCTAGGCAAGTGCTCTATTACTGAAGTGCTCTATTACTGAACTGCTTTTGATTTGGAGCCAGGGTCTCGCTAAATTACTCAGGCTGCCCTCAAACTTGCAATCCTTCTGCCTCAACCTCCAGAGTAGCTGTGACTACAAGCACGCCTCATCATGTCCAGGAAAAATCTGATATTCTTGTTTACTGAAAAGACTGTCTTGTTTTTCTCTCTTACAAATTTAACTTGAATTTTCATAGACCCACTTAGCAAAAAGCTGAAAGTTGTTTAAAAAAGGTGCAAATGATGTGCAACTTAAAATATTAGGTAACAATTTCAGACCTTTGTATCTGCATAGCATTCTTTATCCTTTCCTTTCTATTTTATCCTTTCTGAGGCCCCATCACATTTGCTTCTCTCAAAAGGGAAAGACATACACAGATACCAGGCACATACACCACATGCCTTATTAACGACTACGCAATGTTTCGGGTCTGTTTAGATAGTCTAGATAAGCCAGCCTGTCCTGCCACATTGTTGGGTTAGGATTCCTTCATCTGAGGCCCACAGAACTTGTGTGAGCTTTATCACAAGCTGTCATCTAGTACAGAGTGTGGCATGTAGTAGGTTCTCAATAAGTATTTGTTGCATGAGTACTGAACATAAAACAAGTTATGGCAAATTTGAAACATTTTTATATAACCTCTTTATCATGCTAACTTCCTCAAAATAAGACTTTAAAACTAAAAATAAGAAATGAGGGTCAAGTGACATGAATATATATTAGGAAATACAAATAACAAAATTATACATTTTTATTTTAATGATAGAACTGGGGACAACTGAAGTGGGAGACTTATAAACTGTCATATTTAGCAAGAAGACAGCTTTTGAGAACTGCAAAGGAAGGTGACATATTGAGAAATGATATCAAGTGAAGTGCACAACTTTGCTGGAGTGACCAATCTAGAGAAATTTAAACTGAATGTAAGGGAGTCTGGCTTTTTCTCAAATGAAAAAAATTCTATGAATATCAAAATGATAAAAGCAGTTCTACCTTTTCAATTACTTCTTTATATTCAGAGTAAGTGGCTTAAAAAAATAAGTGGCACATTTATGAAAAACATAGACCTAAGTACTTAAGAAATTAAGATGCAATAATGCAATTATATAGTATATCATCTCACATAACAATACAATTTTCCTTATCCTTGCTCTTTAGAAAAACTAAAGTTCTACCGAAACTGATCTTCAAATTTAAAATACTTTGTTGAATACTTAAAAATTTTAAAAACTAGTACAGAGAATAAAAGCTTTATCAACTACAGTATATAGTTATCCTAAATTTCTAAATGCAAAGATACATAATAGTTTGCTTTTAAAACTTCAAGGGAGTTATTTAAAGTGTACAAGAGATTTATAAAGACTTATACATTGTTTAAGATTCTCTTTACAAATGCATTTTGAAACAAGACTGGAATTCAAACTATCTTATTCATTTGGTTTCACAAAAAGAATACAAAGTACACAAAAGGTGTGTAATTGACAACTGACATGATCAAAGTATTATTTTTATTTGTTTCCTATATAATTCTCTTTAAACAAGTTCTGGAGTTGTGAATGCCTCAGATAAAGCAATGACCATGATAAAGAACACTGCAGTTAGAGAAATTTTAATTCCTTGGTATAATCTTCTTTAATAAGATGAAGGTTTTACTTATTTAATGAAATCTCCCACTGAGAAGATTGAAAAATACTCTAACTAGGGAACAGCTCTCTTTATAAAATTATACAAGTTTAGGTTAAGCTTTAATGTCTACACTGGAATAAGATAAACTAGTAAAATACAATGTAAAAACAGCTGATAATATTTGTAATTTGTAAAATAGTTAAAAGAGAGAAAAAAGGTCAATATACAGGTATAAAACGGAACCAGTGCACAAATCTAAAAAAAAGAAATTAGAAAACAGTACGTTTTGTGTAGAGTCAAATTCAATTAATAAATCTGTTGACCACATAGTATATGCAATACTGCGCTTGTCTGAGATTAAGGAGAGATAAGGGCCCAAACATCAACATTTTTAGGTAGCAAGGAACTAAACAGGTATGAAGATAGAAAAAAGAAGTCAAAGTCTTTCTCTCTAAGAATTCAAATTTACCTAGAAAGATAGAATGTATGCAGACAAATGAACTGTATAATGCAAGATAACCCACACCAAGCGTCATGGGGGTGGGACAGACTAAATGAGCTGATACAAGGATTCATTACAAAGACATCTGCCCAGGTACAACTTGGTTTATATTTATAACCTCATATGTGCCACCCATTTGAATATCAAAATAAATTTAAATTTCCATATAGGGTCAAAATTGTAAAGAATTCTCACTATTCTAACATAAACTGGTTTAAAACCTACTTAAATATAAATGATGTTGGCATCATTTTGACTATGCCTTTTCCTTAAGTTACTGCTTAACAAAGATTTTCTTAGGTTGTTTCTGATTCTTAGAATCCTAAATGTAAGACAGAATGCAGACCATGTGATAATTTCAAAATCTGGTAAATGATATCTTAGGTAATTTAAACCATAAATGTCCATGTGTAGTAGTAAATACATTCAGTATTGATATAATAGTTCTATGTAAAGTGCATCCTGAATGGGAATGCAAAGCAGAAAAAGGACATTAGGTGAAAACTAAGAAAATCTGAAGAGAGTACAGTTTGTTAACTGTGATATAAGTACCACACTAAAGTATTAGTAACACAAGACACTGAGTACAGATAGGTGAGATCCTGATACTATCTTCGTAAATAATCTGTATATCTAAAATAAAAAGGTTATTTAGAAATATATATGTGTAGGTAATTTGAGAAAATTATCTCTGTCAAATCATAAATATTATCTCAAATTATATACTAAGTTCAGGCCCATTGATGCTTGGGCCACACCATACATAGTAAGTGTTTGACTGAACTTTGCAGGGCTTGGGAAACAGTGCTCGATTGTGTTCGATGTCATTTGTTATGATCAATGGCCCAAGAATTAAGTTGTATGAGCACAGAGATTTTTGCTTCACTTTGTGCACTTCAGTATTCCTAGTGTCTATTACACAGAAAGTATCCAGTAAATGATTGCTAATTCTCAGCCTCCTTAGCTTTTTTTTTAAAGAAGCCTTAATATATGAATTGAAATTATGCTTGAATAAACACAAAGTATTTAAGTTTCCTGGTGAATTTATGAAGAAAAAGTATATGATTAGAAATGAGGATTCATAAACTCAGCATACTTATAAGAATGGAAGCATATTATTTGAGTTAGACAAAACACAAGCCTTAATAACTAAAAAGAAATGAGATATTCCAATTTGAAACTATAAATACATACAAGTCAGTCTCTCCCTGAGCTCAGGAGTGGGAGCCATATCCACAGCACTTTTGCCATGGCAGTTGACGAGTGTAGGGTCAGCACCATGGCTAAGTAACAAGGAGCAGACTTCTACACGATTTTTGGAAGCAGCCTCGTGGAGTGGAGTGAACTGCCAGAGATCCATAGCATTAACACAAGCTCCATGCTGAGGTGAGGAAAAAAATTTCAGGTTAGTAATCACTTCACTGGATCACATCAAATGAAGAAAACATTTATTTCATTGTAAATTTCAGTTACAACTTGAAAAAATATAATTATTCTAAATTTTGATTTTTAAAAAGTTTAAATTATTTAAAATATTTTTAGCAATGGTAGTATTTTTAAAGATTCTTATTCTCTTAAAATCTTATTGGTCAAAAAACACATGAAGTAATAGCAAGGTTTTTTAAAAAACAAATGATACTTAATATTTTTAATTTTTTTTACCTTTAGTAGCAGTTCTGTGACTTCATAATGTCCATATGAACATGCATTATGAAGAGGCACAAGTCCACTAAATGAAAAGAGCCAAATTACAATACTTCACTTTCAAATATTTTGTAGTTAATTATCCATGAAATGCCAAGAAAAAAAATCTAATAAATCTCAATAAAAGTGTATTAAAAATATTTTAGTATGTAATAAAACAGTTCAAAACATAGCCAATATTCACAACTTCCGTATTTTTCTTGTTTTGTATAATCATTAATGATAAAAATACCAATTATAAGAACAGTTAAGTAAAAGGAAGATCATATGCTAATTAATAATTGCATGCTTTATATGTTTATTGCTTAGGAAATGTAAATTGGTAGAGAACTGAAATACTAGTAACTTCCAGCATAAGAATCCAAACTACAACTTAGATATTAAAGTATTCTAAATGAGTCAAACCTCCCCCGCCCTTTCACGGTGTGCCTCTCCTGATGACTCACCTATTGTACACCCATCTGTTTTCAGACATGCACAAGAAAGAGAGATGTGCAAGAGCATCAGGCATTTATGCCCTACACTACTGGGAAACCATTCACATACGGAAGAAAAGCTGGTGCAGGCAAAAGAGAAATAGCACCAAAAAGAGCACATGTAGAATGGATGGATTCCCATTCTCATTGTTATTTAAGTACTGAGTCTTTTCCTTATGCTTCCTGACATGAAGGGGAGTCGGGCGCCACAGGGAAAGAGACCCTACTCCGGGGCACACTTTCTTCACTCTGTCAACTACAAAAATGTGGTAATGTAACCTATCTTACCTGGGGAGGGTCGATTATCTTTCAGATCTTAAGGTGAGAGGATGAGAAATGTTAACCCCTCATTAGGAGACCAAACCCAACTGTAAGTGTTCCTGGAGACTATGTAGGAAGTTGGTACAAAATTTTCCAAAATTTACCAATTCATAAAATAAATGACATAATTGATTTGTGGCTTCCACCTATTTCCCTCCTGTATTGACATGGACTGTTTTAGGTTCTAGGTTTTTTTAGTTTAGATGTCCAAAATTTCATCAGAACAAAAATTATGAAATTAAAATATTGCATACTTATGATTCTGGTTTATTAATAAGAGTTAATCCCTTCATAACAAATGACTGTGGTAGCTATCCTACCAAAATATCTGAAACTTCAGTTTGTTTTATCTTTCTGAAGTGTAGCTTAAAAGTTGAAAAGTAACGACTGCAATTGAGAAACACATTTTACCTTCAAATAATAGAATTATAATAAATTAAACTTATTTAGGTAATTTCAATGAAAGATATCTCTGTTAATAGGTAGTACATGAAAATAAGGCCTGAAATCAAAGTTGTGACAACTCTTAATGAGTAAGACATATGACTTAAACTTTGGGGTTAGCAGATGATGAAGAGAAAGCCTCACGATCCATAAACAAACCATTAAAACGCATACAGTGATAACTTACCCTTTGTCTTTTGCATGAACGTCTGCACCGTGCTGAAGAAGCAGTTGAACTATCCGAACTCTGTTGTAGCCTGCTGCTAGATGTAAAGGAGTAGACTGGAAAAGAGAAAGAAGAACACATCTCTCTCTCAGGTGAAATAATTTTTGCTTTGCTATTTAATCTGTATTCAGTCAGATTTAAACACAATGAAAGTTAACATAAAAAATACAGGGCTGAAATGCCAAAAATCCACATTTCATGGCTGGATGAAAGACAATTCATTCTCCATGAAAGAAAAATTTAACTTTAGTGCGTCTTCTATGGTTTCAATTTGGTTTGTCCACACTGAAACTCACGTTGAGGCACTGGACCCAGTGAATAGTGTAATGGTATACAGGGGGCCTTTGAGACGGATTGACACTTTTCTCTCACAGTGAGGGACTGGCCTACTTATCAGGAGAGAGAACTGTCATGAAGCAAGTTTGGCTTTCACAGCCTGTTGTCTTGCTACCTCTCTCTCCACGTGGTCCCCCATCTTTTTCTCCTTTTCAATCCCCCCCCCCCGCCTCCTGCTGTGTGATGGTATCCACCCCGCCAAATGCTTAGATCTTCCAACCACAAAAACTGTGAGTCAAGTACACCTCATTTCTTTATCTATTTCCCAGAATCAGCAAATTCTTTAGAGTAACACAAAATGGGCCAAGACACTGTCCATCTATTTCCTTTGTTTTTCAAGGCCTTCAGTCATCAAGCCCTATCTACACTACCTCCTTCCCACATGCACCATTCTTACTGCTCTGAGGAATCATGTCAGGACTCACCTCCCCTCCTGCTGGAAACATTCTTCCTTATCTATTCAAGTCCTGTCCTTTCAAGTTCTAACTTTCAAATCCCAATTCTACTATAAAACCTTATTTAAAGATCTAGCTTTCAAAATTCTTTAATAGGAAAGACTGAAAAATATCTTTGTATCAAGAATGACTTGAAAAACTGTAGTGAAAACTAAAAGGATAAAGCATTTTACTCATTCTTAAGGATGCCCAATAAAGGATCAAAACTAATATGGTACATTGGATGGAATGAAAGATGTCAAGATAATATTTAATCTTGTTTTATTTACTCTAGATACAGAATAAATACAAGAGGAAAATATAGCTTCTTCTCAACTATTTTCTGGAGTGCTTTAACTTGAACTAAGTTATTAAAAGGCCCTCTGCTAAAATGTCAAGAGGAAAATATAGCTTCTTCTCAACTATTTTCTGGAGTGCTTTAACTTGAACTAAGTTATTAAAAGGCCCTCTGCTAAAATGTCATATAGTAATTAAAATAATCAAATTTCTCAACTTTTTAAAAAATCAGAAATAACTTCATTTTAATTGAAAACTTTTCTGCAATCATTTCTTATTTGAGGTTTAAATATTTTAGAAGTTCTGCATATAAGTTCTAATATAACGTACTCTTGTTTTTATTGTCCTCTATTGGGGTTTTATTTAGTAAGACTTTTATTTTCTTCATTTATTCCAAATGTCAAGATACAAAAGAATTACCATATATTATACAGTCTATTACTACTGTCAAAATCCTCCATATATTTTATATATTCTGACACTGTTTAGAAAATATTTTGAGCAATGCACAACTATTATGAAGAGACCATGTAGATTAGTTCTTAACAGGAAGTCAAGAAAGCTGATTATATTTGCAGATGCTATGAAATCCTGTTAAAGCCATAATGCCTGTGTGTTTCAGCTTTTTCAAAAATAAAACAGCAATAAAATTTCCATTTCAGGTATCTCAATAACTTATGAAAATAAAGTTTTCTCCCATAGGTAAACACTTTTAAAATATAAAGTGTCACGTAAAAACAGACAATCAGCGTTTCTATATTATCAAGCAACAGACCCAGATAAATTTCTGCTTTCAGATACAGGCCATATATTATTATAATGTTACTTTCAGGACTATCAGGTTATTTTCAGGACTCTTATTGTACTTCCATTTTACAAACATAACTTTTGCTGTTATGTGAAAGTTAGCAAAATTTACATGAATCTTTTTTCTTCCTTTGCAAGAAAATAGTATTTTAAAGATGCTGCCCTGCTGTCTTTTGGGTTGCACTGTTTCCAAACTAGAACTCTGCCACCATCTTTATCTTTGTTCTTTTGTACCCATGCTTCTTTTCCTCCAGATGTTTTGGTATTTTTTCCTTATCCTTGGATTTTAGCAATTCGATTATGAAGTACCTCGGCAAAATTTTCTTCAGGGTTTTTGTTTTCGTTTTGATCCTTAGGTCTTTCTAAACTTTGTGGATCTGATTTGCTTTTACTAAATTTGGAAAACTCTTAGTTACTATTTCATGAAATGTTTTTCCTACTTCCTCTCCTAACATTCTCTCCTGTAGTGACTTCTATCAGACATACACTAGGTTGCTTTTAAAGGTTTCTTAGGCAGGACCAGAATAGCCTTTAAGGCAGGACTGTTTTCTTCTACTACTGAGGCATTGCCATTCTGAGTACATTATAATATTCCAAGAATTACTGAGGGTCTTCCAATCTGGTTGGCGACAAGAGAAACCATTACAGTCTCTATGAGTTCCTAGGATAGCAACCTCTAGCTCTTCTGTGTGGGTCTTTGTCAGTCTCCAGCAGTTTCTTCATACGTGTTACTCAGTCCTAGCTGAAGAGTGGAAGGGGACTCTTGGTAAATCTCCTTGCCTGGTCCCATACCTCAGTCACTTCTTCCTACCTTGTGCCATTTGACAGAGTACTGATGGCCATAGGTGGGATGGTAAAAGAACTTAGCAATCGACAAGGAATATAAAAAGACAAGAGTTTTATTTAGATCACGATATGCTGCCTACAGGGCAGCCGGTGGGTTTCCAAGTGAGGAACTGCAGTTGGGGTGAGGAACTTGGTTGTTATTAGGGTTTCAAGATATGGAAAAAGAGTCTGGGGCACAGGTGATCGTCTTTCTGGGTCATTCAGCCCTCTGCAGATCTTCTGGAGCATTTGCAGTTCAAAACTGCTTAGAGTGGCAACTCAAGACAAAGCCACTCTCCTTCAGCCCACAGAGGGCTTTCAGCTTGAGACAAGAAGGTGATAAGGAAACCTGCACATCCTTTAGAAAAGATGTGCTAGGACTCTGGGAGGAAGGAATGGGCCTCACATTAAAGGTCTGTTGCTATCTTAGGGCCACCTTCTGAGAGTGGGAGGTCTTTAACCAGAGTTCTCTGTTACCAGATGGGTTTAGAAGGAGTTCAGCTACTAAGGGTTTTAACACATTTTATTGCCAATGGACAGGTCCTGCACCTTGGTCTGCTCAGACTCCCATTCCATCCTAATTCATAGACACCATCAGGTTCTTCCTGCATGATGTCTTGAAATACTTCCTGTGCTGTAAGTTGGAGCAACTGCACAGCTCACCTTCTCTGTCCCCCTTTCTCTGGGGTCACTGCCATGTACTAGCTAGTGTTTGATGTTTAGAAACCACTGTTTCACATATGCTATCTGTTTTTCTCAATGTCTGAGAAAGGAAGGTAAATCTGGTCCTTTTTATTCCACCTGGCCACTTGTAGGTTGGAACTGTGCTTTAGACAGTGCTTGGGGAGCTTCCTCCAGAGACAAGGACTGTTTTGGGTGACTGGTCAGTAAGTTCTCATAGGGCATAGCTGCCATTTAATATTTTATGGAAAAGGTGGAATCTCTTGCTATGGACAGAAAAGATATTGCTTTTTAATATTTTCTTTTATACTATTTTATTTGTACATAGTTGATTCAATAATTTCTACCTCTGAAAAAGAACAAAGTCCCTAAATGAATGGTAACATATATACTTATATTAACAGTTTACTTAAAAGCCCAATATGTAAGGAAAATAATTCAGTTTCAATTTTTTAAGTCTTGTAAGAGTAGAAATTATTTGCAATGCTTTAAAAATAGTAACATGTTTAGTTTTTAAACTGTTAAAATTCATATAACTCAGATAAATGAGAAGTCCTTGTAAACATGTACGGAGTGAGAGGAAGCTTAAAATGCAGTGGCTGTGAAAAAGTGGAGTTAAGGAATGGCTTTCAAAAACTATTAGGAAGCCTGATGATAGACTCTAAAGACCGATGTACATAGTGAAGGGTGTGGTATCTTCAGTTTGGAAATGTCAATGACAGTGGAAGGAGGTAGTATAGGAACAGGGAGGGAAGGACCCTGAGGAAAAGAACTTGCAGTTTCGTACTGAATTTAAAGTGCTTACATGACACCATAGTGGCAATGTGAGAGTGAGTTTTATATATATGAAATTATAATTCAGAAGATGTTAAGGCTACAAACAAATCTGGTCCTAACTGGTATCATTTAAAATATTTCAGTATCTGCCATGTATGTGACACCCTGGTAAGTGATAATCACGAAATGTTCAGTAATTTGTCCCTATAGAGTTTTTTTGTGGGAGTGGAGATGAACAGTACTGGGGTTTGAACCCAGGGCATTTGAATTGAGCTACATTCCTCCAACCTTCTTATAGTTTTTTATTTTGAAACAGTCTCACCAAGTTGCAAAGTTTCCCAGAACACCCAGGTTGTGCTCAAACTTGTGATCCTTCTGTCTCACACATTCATTAAATGAAGTATAAATAAATGAATTCTTTATTTAGCAAGACAAAAGATGGGAAAGAAAATTCTAGTTTCTGCGGAGTCAAGCACCTCCAGAAAGCAGGGGCAACGTTTCTGTGTGAAACAACGCAGAAAGGGTGCTACAGCAGGCACAGACACCTACAGCACTCTACAGGCAGCAGGGTGAAGCGAGCACCAGGGAAGACTAAAGAACTGCACTCTGAGCTGAGACTTGAGGATAAACAACAAAAAAATCACTGAGGCAAACAGATGGGAAACTTCATTCCAAATAGCATGAAGAATACATGTTAATACCTAGCGAACATGTATTTGAGAAACTTACTAAAAAATTAGTGGCTAACTGCAATACAAAAGGTTGGGAGAGACACTAAAAATAATAGGAAACTACTGCAGGATTTGAAGGAAAAAAACTATCTAAGATTAGAATTTACTATATGGAAAATAAAATCGAAGACAGGGAACAAACCTATCTATGGCAAGAATACCTGAACA